TTGACGAGCGCACGAGGCAGCCAACAACGGAAGACGGCAGCTCTCGTGACCGGTCGGAAGCGGAGCTGGCTGACTACTCAGTGGGGCCCTGACGGTCAATGCACAAGAGAAAGACTCCAGGTAGCTTGAATTTTGTAGGGGGAAGGAGATGTTGTGCAGCCGGATTACACCACAGGCTCCACGGGTGAGCCAGACAATGACAAGGAGCTCTAGCCTGATGCCCGTGCCACGAGTTCGGTGACCGAACTGGCCATGGCAAGCCAGGCGGCTTATGTAGATTAAAGCCTTCGAGTTCCTACCATCCTTGTACGGTGCTTCACCAGAAACATAAAAAGAGACTACCCATGCATACAGTGTAATCCACTTATAACAATACCAGATGCAACAATCTATCACTTGTAGCAATCAGTTTCTAGACTAGAAACAATCAGTTTCTTGTCCAGATACAATAATAATCATTTATAACGTTTGAAATTTCTAGTTTTCTCATTATTGTTATAAGTGGATTGCACTGTATAATGTCAATTTCAGTGGCAACATCTATTTTGCCTTCCTTATTTCTAAGGAAGGCCCACAATTCACCTTCAGGTGTGCCAAGTCGGTCATCATGACACCAAAGCGCTGAAGGCAACAACAACCCTCCACCATTCAGCTAATTACAGGAAAATCCACAGAACCAGCCGGCCGCCCCGACTCTACCTAATCCCCACATCTCGATCATCCCTCCTCACATGAAACCCACAAAGCGGGACAACCGACGTTCGAAAAACTTTCATCCCTTATTGCTCGTTGAAGGCATCCTGCATATGTATACTTATATTTTTTCAACGACATTTGAGGCCAACTTTTTATGCATTGGGGAGAGCAAAGATAAAATAAACTTGGTACCGTGGCATGAATCGTCTGGGAAAAATTTTGGAAGTTTAACAAGCTTCTCGAACCACTGTAACTCAACCCAAAAAATGAAGTCGCGACAGAACTCTCCACGAGCAACTGGAGGAGAAAACAGTGCAGCACTTGGGACAATCACAAACCTATAAAGCTCTTGGTTGTCTCGTTCAGCAATGTTGGCAGGTTACTGATACAGTTTGGTTTACTGTTTATATTAATACTTTCGATCAGGATTCTTTTATTCATTGCATGTCTCTTTCGAAAATAGTGCACAACTTTTGCAGTTACTAGGATGTTTCGCAATTTAAGACTTTTTGGGATTATGAAGCCACAGCCCTTTAATGCTCGACAATGCTGTAGAGCTGTCTTCTTGCATAATATCCAAACTATATTCATTGGCAGGCTCAGAGTTCAGGGGAAGCTCCTTCCACCTCTTTCCACTATAGCAGAGTGAATGCTGGACGATGTCACCTCCTCTCCAGCATTCGCTCCGACCACAGGTAGTTGGGCGTTTGCACTGTCGTTCGCAGCAATTCTCAAAATCAGCAAGATCATTTGTTTTAGGCAGTTTGGAACGGTGAAAAACTAAATTTCTTCAAGTATCAGACATACCCTGCCCTATTTTCAGGAAGTTACTTGCAAGCTGTGGCCATCTTTTTCTTTGCGATGATGTGCTCAGTCATGTTGTAACAGGCCACACAACTGCAAGGTCAGAATAAATTGTGGGATCGCTACTTCCAAATTAGGCTTGCTCTGCCAGGACAGTAGGTGTGAAATCTCCTTGTAGAGTTAACTCAGAATTTCCTAAAATCTGCCAGTGCTTTTAGTTTGTTGTATTGCCCACAGAACTCAATCGTTCCTTGACATGTTGTCAGGTAGCGCTTGTTGCTCAGGAAAGAAGTACTTTTTGCACCGGACTTTGTTACCCTGGTCCACAACTCAAAAGACTAGACACGTTAAATGACTGAAAACTAGCTTGGCTGAGGCTAGGTTCTTCAGGTCTAAAACGAGGGATGCTGCCTACGAAACTTTTTGGGCAGAAGATTCAGTGACCTCTTGCGTACTGATCGAGCGTCACTCGTTGTGTCAATCCTAGAGGACAAGTCTCACTCGTGTTTTTGTTGTAGTACTCGTCTTGTGTGCCCTGTGACAGGTAGCACCATAGTCGACTTAGCCCTAAGGCCCCTATATGGGAAGGAGGCAACAGTTACCCCTCCTCTGTGTTTGCGCTTCAGTATTTGGTTCCTCTTACTGATGCATGCTTCTGCCTAAGGGTTACCAAAGCGGCCAAGGTCACTCAAAAAGCAAGCGAAGCCTCTGTGCACATAACCACCAGCAACTAGAGGGGTATTTACATGGAGGATGCTTTTCCCGTTGGGATGTGTGTGACGTCAGATATCGGCTGAACTAAAGCCTCTGTATCTGGCAAAAGTGGCGCATTCTGTTCGCTCCTACTTTAAAAAACCCTCGTTACCCCATTTCTAACTTCCGGTATGCGATGGAGGCACCCTCTGAATGTTCCCTAGCGTCTCGATGTCTCAGTCAGCTCAAGCGGCGCGATGCCGATTGTGTGGACCTTTACTCGTCATATAAGTGTGGCAATGACCTAAATTAGAGCCCACATTTGCATCCGACTGCTCTGACGCTGCTCTAGATCTGTTCGTCCAGCCGTGGATCCCAAAAGCGATTTCGATAATCGTCCCTACCGAGTTGCATTATCGGTCAGTGTCTCGTGGGTACCTGTCCGCTCCTTCGGCTTCACAGGAATCAGAAATTGTTTTTAATCATCATATCAAACTGCCAAATTAAAATTATATTCTCCATGATTTCAGATCACTCGCTACTTAATCTTAATGTATGGTGAGAAAAAAGCATACTCGTGCTTGTCGCACTGGTTTCTCTCGCACTTATGTTGAAACGAGGTATAGCTACATCCACACGCTCGCAGCCACGAGTGTTGCAAGCTATGAATTTTCTGCGAAACGAAGCATGGTACCCGAGCATGTACGCCACACTTGACAAGCGAGCGTACTCTGCACCTCCGGACGCACCCACAACTGGGAGCGACGCCGATGCTCCAAACACGAGCAGGCAGGCCATTTTGAAGGAAGGTTACTTCCATGGCACAGGCATGTGTACATACGAAGTCAGCAGTGCTGTGCTCGCTATTACATCGCTCGTGCTTACGGTGGAATAGAGTGCATAACTCGCTCTAAACAGCTGTCTTTTTGCATACTGGAGAGCTCTGTACAGAGCACCTACATCACATTACTTTGCGGCTCCTGTCGGGTGGAAATGTTTACGACCGATTTGGTGAAGCAAAATATGCCTCCGAAGTTCATTTTCCGTTCAAGAGGGAACAAACACTGAAAGGCTCTCCGGCCGACTTTTCCACAGGCAAGGTAGCCTGTTAGCTGCAGCGTAGCAACAGCTTGGCAAAGTAATGGTGGTCGAAAGTTCAGAACCGAAAGCAGGAGGTCATGTGACTTGGCTGACCAATAGTATGCACGGTGGCTTGTTCAAAGAATTGTGCCACTTTTCCCAAGATGATGAGGCTGTAGGCGGAACCAGCGGGACTCTTTCCCCGACTCAAGCCTTCACACGAATGGCGGGAAGCCGAGAGAACTGTCAGTGTTATCAGATGCATTTCGCGATCGCATTCTCACTAGCGGGGCTCGGTGCGTGGTGGCAAAAATAGAAAAATGAAGGCGCACGTGAAGTGGCAATACGCGATTATAGCGGTAGCACTGTTAGATGAAAGAACATGACGAACTGCTTCCTCCTAAAAAGATGCTTCTTGTATGGGTGGATGCAACACAAAGAAGGTGCAATCCAAAACCGGCTATGTGAAGAGCAGCTTGAGGACGGCATCGATGAATATCGAAGACTCCATCGAGTGCCTCGGATGATGTGCGCAACAGCGCAAGCCACAACAAGTTGGGCGATCGCAATGTCACCGCTGGTATCCCGCTAAGCAAAAAAATAAGTAAAGTTGCCAGACACACAAAGAAAATACCACCAATTGCAAAGAGGTCCCACGCCAAGGCGGGGACTGTTTTTGCAGCCTGGGCAAGAGCTGTCCCATTCCCCTGGGATGCCTACATCGGCACGGCTCCGCGCAAAGGCGCGACTTTGTTACCATGTGATGCGCATCCCTGGGAGTTAAGGAAGGGACTTGTCTCCTGTGCGGGGGGGGGGGGGGGGGGGGGGGGAGAATACTTCTGAACGCAGCACACTCCTCTCACAGTGATCATGTCATCTCCTACAGATGCCTACTGTATTTAAGCCGAGTTTTATAAAAAGTGAAAGCCTTCTAGGCAGGAACACTTCGGCACGATTCTCGGGTTTATTCCAGGATTGATAGCTGCCTCCCGTGCCTGAGTTGGTCTAGCTAGCTGCTCGGTCACCCGAACCCATTTTTTTTAAACTCTGTTCTCATACGCTCTGCACGTTGCTCTTTCAAACCACAAGGTCAGGTGGCACCTTCCCTATGGATTGCCTGCGGTGGCTCTTAGTACTTATTGCAGTTCATCTCAAGTTGAAACGGAGTATGAGGGCTAAAAGTACCTAATCACTCCAACAAACAACTGGTCACATATTCGCCGCATGCTTTGTTATTGCGCAGTAGCTCATGCCACCAGGATTAACATAGCATTTGTATCATGCTTTCGATACATACTGTTTGACGTAAACAATCTTTTTTTTTGGGGGGGGGGGGACAACATTATTGCGCATTTTAATAATGAAGAACTCAATGCATATCTCCAGGTTTTTGTGTTTGGTCATAAATGGTACTACCGTAAAATCCTGAATTAACGCCCCCCTTCTCGCCGTAGATAATTGGCAAAAAAAGTGGGGTGGGCGATCTTTCAGTATTTAATAACCAAAATCACAAACAAAAATCGAGTAACGCGTGCGCCAAAGCAGCGTGGGTTTTTATTTCCCTAGCTCTCATCGCTGAAACCGTCAAACGACACATCGCTTTCGCTATCGAAGATTAAATCTAACGCCTCGTCAATGAGGCTCTCGGGATCCTCGGGTCCATTGGTTACCGAAGCCAAACGGTCGTTGAGCTCGCCGTCCTCGGAACCATCAAGCCTTGTGGATATTCCGCACCGTTTGAACGAACTCCGCACGGTATCCTCGGAGACGCAGGCCCACGCCTGAGCCACGAAGTCCACAACCTCTTGACGCAACAGTCGCTCTATTTAAAAAAAAAAAATGCTGTCAGCCTTATTTTTACGTATTTCTAAGGCTTTGTTTCGACATTTATACCCTGAATGGTGATTAATTACAACATACCTGGAATCCTTAGAGAAAAGAGTACTCTGGGGGGAATCCGGCCGGTTGGCTCCTTCAGTGCGATCAAAGCAGGTAGCTTGATGCCCGCTGCCGTCGCGCGCAAGGCCACCGTCATCCCTCGCCGAGCACAGCCGGTGTTGGCGATGCGAATACTCGACTCGCCGACAGCATTGTTGGTTCTCGCAGCAGGGCAATCCATCCGGACCATAGTCTGATCCATGTTGGCTATGTTGTAGTCCGAGTAGTTGTGCTCCAGGCGCAGAGTTGACACAGCCTTTCGGAACACCGTAATTGCTTCAACGTAGTCGGCAGGCAGCTTCTGACTTTCGTTGGTCCCCACCCGCATAGACACATTAAATCGCTTCTTCCAGTTAGCTATGTACTGGCATGACGCTTGGAAGTTTCCTAGGCCCATCTGTTCTGCCAGTTTCCGCGCATGCTCTTGAAGCAGGCGATTTCTGACTGCTCGACCGGCGGATCTCTCAGTCTCCAGGAAGTCCATCAGTGCGTCGTCGATTTCTTCACTAAAAACGGGTCGTCCCCTACCTATTGCTCTCTTCAACTTTTTCGTTCCATGGCATTGTTGTAGAAGTACTTGGTAGCTCGTATTCCATTCCCGTACACGCTTCCGGTCAACTTCGAAATGGCGCGTAGTCTTGCTCACGTTAGCTCCGTTCTTGCGGTGCCATTCCACGACTTCCACTTTCTTCTGGATAGTATAGCTGGACCTCATCCCGAGTATACACAAGAAGCGTCTTCACAGTTTGCTGGTCGAAAGATTTTCTGGGGTTCTCGGGCGATCTGACGACAACCACTAAGTGACCTTCAACGCTTTCCTGAAGTCATTCAATAAGTGACCTTGACCGCTTTCCGGGTTCGTTCCGTTATCTTATCTCCCTTATTGTGTGTGGCCTCTTCTTTTTGTGAAGGGAATCCTAGGCTTTCCAAACCTTCTCCCCTACCCTCCGGCACCTTTCTCAACCTTCGGGCATCGCTATTTTTGGAAGGTGGGCGACCTATCAGTATTCGAGGGAAACACGTGTTCGAACATAAAAGCGGAGTGGGCGATCTATCGAGTGTGGGCGCTATTTCAGGATTTTACGGTATGTCTTTTTGAGACCTTGCAGCACTCTGTCATATCAGTTTATTATCTAACAAGGGTGGGTACTTATTGGAGATGAGTGAGGAATGAAGAGAGAGTAAGAGATTCAATCACAAAAAGGAGCGTCTCGACCCACGGTGCATCTTGTGTAGGGATGTCGCGAACCACCCCAAGTTCGATTTCGAAAGGTTTCGATATTTGCGAAGCGAACTGAGGTTCGATTTCGAAAAATTCGATATTTTCGTACCGACCCAGGTTCGAATTCGAAAAATTCGGAACTTTCGATCACAGTGGAGTTTCGAATTTGAAAAGTTCGAAGCTTTCACGGTTTCTAAAATTTCGGATTCGAATATTTTTTTACTTTGGGTTTGATAAATTTGAAGATTTTGAAATTATTTGGATATAAAATTCGAAAACTTCGAACGCTTCGAATTTTTATAGACATGAAGTTCGAACAATTCGAAGATTTCGAATTTCTTTCTGCATAAAGTTCGAAAAGCTTGAAGCTTTCGATTTTCTCTTAACGCTAAATTTGAAAAAAAAAAACTTCGAAGATTTTGAATTCCCTTCTAGTCCAAGTTTTCAAAGTTCGAAGTCCGGTTTTCAAGTTCCTCCACAGTTTGTTTCAAATAACGTTTTCACAACTCACTGGCTTTCACAAAATCAAGTTTAGAAAAGTTAGGGTGTGATATTTGGTTTTGCGAAGTTGGTCAGGCAATTAAATGAGACGACGAGTGACCCGGATGTGCTGGAATATTTGCCAATGCAGAGTGACGTGTGACCATGGATCAGAAATTCTGACCGCCAGTCCGGGGGGGAAGGGGGGGGGGGGGGGGGGGGATGGTCTTTAACCTGCATCACGCAGTAGTGATCACGAACAAAACTGTTTTATAAGACACATCCAGTTCGAAACGGCCAGGGACGAGCAGGAGGTTGATGCTCAGAAAAACCTTGAAGCGACCTGGTAAACTACCTGGTAGTAATCCGATCGAACGCCGCCTGAGTGACGCTGGCATATAGTAAGTTAAGTTTGTAATAGTCCTGGAGGTTTATTTTCTGGGACGGAGGAATCGCCTCGCAAAAAGCCGACACAACTTGAGGTTGAGGAGCGTTCTACCATACAAGTGGCGTCGGAAGAGGAAAAACGGGGGGTAAGAGGATAGGGGGGGGGGGGGGGGGGGGGGGGGGGGCTTCAGTTCTCTTTTTCCTTTTCCAGATATTTCGGACTGTTAAAGAAAACAATACGGGGAAAAAGGGCGCGGTCGAGCTTATTTTAATCTGAAATTATTTATGCATATGTATAGCTACTGTCGCTCTTCACCGCATAAAAGATTGCGTAGATGGTCATTGTTAGAAACTCATTGTCAGAAGGCACTATTTGTCATGTGCTTAGTGGTTCGGAAGTTCAAAGCTATGTCTTTTCGACCTAAATACCAGTGCCAATAGTAAAAAAAAAAGATAAATAAATAAATAAATAAATTTGGGGATAAAAAGCTGGAGAAAAAAAAAACTCAAGAATTCGCCGGAAGCGTTCTATTCTTGCATATTCAGAGGTTCAGAACTTCGAAACAAGTTTCTTTTACCAAAATGTGTACAGGCTAAAAGAAACACGTCCCAGGAATGTGAAGCGAAAAAAAAAAAAAGTTTTCTTTTAATGACGTGCTGAACTTGAACACTATTAGAAATCTTCTGCCATGAGTTAATTTATTCCTTAGCGTGAAAAAACAATAAATACATTATTTTGTATTCTGCAGATGGCAATGATATGTACTGTCTGTGGTGTTAATTTAAATTTATACCTCAAACAACTTAGACGAAAATAAATATCAAGTTTAGGGCATAATTGCATGTAGATACATGTTTGGACATTTGTTCGAAACTTACGTTGAATAACAATAATCACATCTCAAGACGGCACTTACCTAGGCTATACATAGATCATTCTTAAGAAGGTATAACATCTTTACCACAAATCGCTTCGGCTAGAGCGCGCTTCAAATCTGGCACAAACGATAATCGTCAAAAACCCGTCGTCCTTCCTCGCCCTTTCGGGAATTTATTTCTTTAAAACTGAATAAGCATGTCAGAACATTGAAACGAACGGCATTGCCTTTCGTAAGGAACGCAGCACCGCATGTAAATGTTCAAGAAGAAAAAAAAATTACGAATGTAACTCACTACTTGAATTCAAATGAAACCTTCCGCTGGTCTTTCGAAGTTCGACGAATGTCGAACTTTGACCCTAAAAGTTTGAAGTTCGTCGAACTTCTGACTTTTCAGGAATTGAAAGTTCGAAACGTTTCGAATTCTCTCGATAAATAAGTTCGAAATTCATCTAATTTTTTGGTCAGTCAAGTTCGGAAGTTCGACAAGCATCGAACTTTGCAGCGCAATGAGTTCGAAAGCTCGAAAAAGATCGAATTTTTTAGCGTAATAAGTTCGACGGTTCGAAAAACGTCAAACTTCTTAGCTTAAAAAGTTTGAAAATTCGACTTCCGTCGAATGTTACGATGTAGACAATTCGAAAAATCGAAATCTTTCGAACCTTTCGAACCGCTTGATTGGATCATCGAAACTTCGATTCGAAAAAAGTTTGCGGCATCCCTAATCTTGTGTGCATAGCTCAACCTTTTGTAGCTTCTGTGTTCTGTGTGAACTGCACACAATATGGACCCTGAATTGAAGCGTCAGCTTCTTGGCCGCTGCGCGGAAAATTTGTTTTGTGACACGCTTGTTCCAATTAGGCTGTACAAAAAAAACATTTTTTCTTTGCAGTTACCTTTTAATACACAGTAAGGGTTCTTTCGCTCGGTCTCCTTGCGCCGTCCGGGTTGCCAGGTCCGGATGGGGTGAAAGACTTCGTTGTGGGAAGCTGGGCAGGTCTTGCGTTTAGACGAAGTTGCTTCCCTTGGCCGTCGACGACTAATTCGGTTGAACTTGGGAATTACTTTTAAGAAACAATTTAATACTTTGTAGCGAATGGAAATACAAAGGGAAATAATACTGCAGAATGGTAACTTCTCCTGCACGGGGTTGGGAAAGAGGTGGTCGGGTGTTAGTCTATCCAAGCTCGGGAGTTGGCTGGCTCCTGGGATTACGTCCCGATTACGGGGACAAAGGTCCCTTGGAATCCCACGACCTGACTCGATTACGGAGCAACAGCTCTCGAGCCTCAGCACGAACTAAACTCACTCGCTGAGTTTCCTATCAAAGTCATTCGTTGGTCCGTCCCCTTTTTGGTGGACCGGCGAATCCTCGATGCGTCGTGAGACAGGCGTTTCCCGCTGCCAACCAATCGGCTCACTTTCTCGCCACATGGCAATTGCTTATACTCCCGGGTGGGAACCCACGGTCTGCGTACATCTCACGGTCAAAGGTCGGGCTGGTTCGGATGCAAGCAAAACCATTTCTCGCAGAGTGAACAACCGACCCCAGTGTGGCTAGCTCAGACTAAGTGAGCCATCCCGTAATTCATTCCGCCATATGCGGTCTGACGTTGCCGTTATGCCGCAACCCCCCCCCCCCCCCCACACTTGGGCGAGAAAAACTAAACTGATGTAAATGCACCGTGTAAACAGCGCCGGCCAGAGCTACTGCGTTCTGGTGGTGGTGGTGGTATAACTTTATTTTCCGGGCCCGGAATGTACGCTCAGACTCTCTCGGCAGAAAACGCGCGTTCCAAACCTCGCGTCGCAAAGTACACTTGTCTGTCGAGGTCGCCGAACAGGGGAAGTGTTTACACCAACGCTTTACTCCCAGCCTAATCTCCCTGGTGCTTGCGGCCCACCCGCGGAGCCCTCGTCGATCCTTACATACACCTTTTTTTTTTAGGGTAAAACATAGTTTTCTAGGAATAAATCTCTATTTTCATGAAAACTGGCTAGAGGTCTTCTCTATCCAGCCAGAAACAGCCGTAAGGCATAAAATTTTTGTGCAACATCCAGTAAGGGTAACTACAATGTATACAACTGAAAGTAGTATATTTTCTGTGAAATACAAAAAGAAAATGCTTTGTTACCCATGCCTTGAAAAAAAAAATCATGATTGCCGAGCAATAACTTTCTGCAGGAGCACTCCCCAGCTGAGGAAGTAGGATTGAGCTAGTCACTCTCGATACCAGAGTTTTTGCAACACTGGAGCACATTTTAAGCCGTTGACCGGTTGTACTGTTCCCTTTTCATATTGACTGTACAGCCACTTCCATCCATTTATTCTCGTCGTTTGCAACTTTATCTTAGGAATTCTCCAGTTCCCTACTGTCATCTCATTTTCACCGCTCATTTTTCCAACTGATCGGACAGGCTCGCCGGCTGGAAACTCAACGAACCGACAACTGAAGTCCGGCTGAATTTGCACGAACAGTGAGCAGAACATCAAGCACGGTTGGCAAATTGTGATCCGCAACCGTGTTAACGCGTGGACTAGTTGGACTAGGATAAGCTGCAGGAGTGTTTCCGATTTGGTTAGCTCGCAGGGCATCCTAGGACTCGGTGAGAAGTCGAGTTAAAGCATTCGTGTTTGTCCAGTGCACCTCGCCGGACTGTGTTAGGCAACGTAGTAAATGCAGCGCCACAGCCCCAATATCTGGGAGAGAGGAGCCCAAGATGGAATGGAAAGAAGTTCACAGAATAGATTTCTGCTTGACAGAATAAGCTGTTTGCACGTCGGCCTAACAGCAATAAATGTTTGTGTTTTATTTCCACTAATTCGGTCCCTCGGTGTAGTAGCAATGTGGGTCAAATGTTCAGTTCCAGATACAGGTGCGAACGTTCCTACCATAGCAACGAATTTAAGAAATTGTTTCCACCGTGATCCTCGTAGATAGACAGCAATGCGTCGAACAACTTTAGCCTAAGTTGCGCCTCCTTTGCGGAGCCGTTTTAATGACCACAGCGCCGTCCGTCTTCATCCGAGCATATCGTAGAATCTGGAGTCGTCTGGTTGGGCCAATTGACTGCATTCGCCGGGCTGCTAACTGAACCGAGCGTATGTTGCGTAGCACCAATGTCGTCGCAAGCAGACTTGCTGTTTTCAGTTTTGTTTTGTCCTGGGGACTTGATTTCGTCTAATTTGTTGTGTTAGTGAAACTTCAATGTCGAGTGCAACTTTCCTTTAGTGATGGACCGAATCTGCCGAAGTTGAGATTCGGCAAAGTTCGGCACATGCCAAACTTTGGAAAGAAAGTTTGGCAAAGATTCGGCAAATGCCTGCGCATGCGCGAGAACGTGACGGGGCCGTGGATTGCAAATGGACGCTGTGCGGCCGTGCGGTTACCATCGTACAGTGTAGTACAACCAGCAGTTATGGCGAGGTGTGGAGTAGGCAACACGGCAACTGTGCATTTGTGAGCCTTTGCAAGTGTGGTTCTCTTCAATATTTTCTGCCTCAAGTGCAAGATCGACCAGTAATTTACGCAGTCCACTGCACAAGTGACAGTACACCAACCACATGAAAACCTGCAACTCTCTCAGAAGGCACGATATGCCCCATGTGAAAAGGGGGTTGTATATCATATTCCCTTATAATGTGGCAAGTGTTACATTGGCCGAACCGGCAGATGTATTAATGACAGGACAAGGGAACACGCAGCATCTCTAAAAGGCACAACAGCAGGTCATCTACCAGCCCATTGCCACAACTGTGAATGCAGTGCAGAGTTCAGCAGCGTCACCATCATCGCAAAACACAAGAACCAGTATGCACGAGAGATTCTCGAAACCATAATCATAGAAGAAAACGAAGCAGTGTGCATCAGCGAGCCTTCAATCAAGCTCAATACCAAAGAAAAACAGTATCTGCGGTGTTTTATGCCCCGGTGAAGTGTAGGTGATTCAAATTTAAGTTAGGTTTTACAATATAAGTTGTGTGTTTTTATGTGGCTTTTAAAACAAAAAAGGAAAAAGCAGAAAGTCAGGGTTCAAAAAGAGGAATAAGTTGGGCTAGTTGGTAAATGAAATGGTAAAACAGAGTTAAAAGGTTAAAGCACAGAAGAAAGAGATGTACAGACACATAGCACTGTGTATCTACATGTCTTCCTTGTGTCCTTCGTCTTTTTAGTGCTCTTTTACCATTTTATAGGATTTTCTAACTGTCCGAGGCACCTTGATATGTTGCTAGTCACAATAATTACAAGAATGACGTGATGCTGTTCCAGTGCAAAGGCATGGTTCGCCACTTTTGTAATTAATACAGACTGAAATTTACTTGTTGAATTAATAACTGTATTGCATTTCAGGTTCAAGAGATGGAAATCCCTCGCCACCTTGCAGAACTCAAGCTGCGTGAGCACCAAGGCAATGTTGTCGATGCCCTCATAGAGCTTACCAACTGACAGACTATAAGTAAATTAAACCCGCAATTGTTCCTTGGTAACGTCTTTGTCAAGAAACCATCATTCACACCCAATCAAGTTACTTCCATCCAAAGAATCCTAAGCGCGGAAATGACGAGTATTCCTACGTAGCTATTTTTATTATGGACCACAGCTCCTGTCTCGACGGATGTGCATAGAACATAGGGCTCTGGAGTTTTTGGAATGCTGCATATTCCTTTTTAAAATGTGTTTTGTTGTGGCAGTATGTGGAAATGTTGGCACCCACAGTGACAAACAGATTAATATGTTTCAAAGAATGACCTGGTATTACTTTGCTATTCAGAATGCCGTGGGCCCGCTTCAACCACGTCTGTCTGTCTGTCATGGCCTTGTTTATGAGCTCTTGGCGCCACCCGGGTGCGTCTCCTTAGCCACCTTTACCGTATAGCGGCGCTATAAGCCAGATTATTGCGTCTGTTATGCTAAACTGGAGCCACTGCATAATGAGGTTCAACAAAAAATGATCCAAATTTGAGCTTAATTTCAGGGTTTCAGCAATTAATTGAAACAGTGCACCCGAAAATAGAAAAATAGGCTGTGGGGCACCCGAATTGTCTAAGTTTACGATAGAACGAGCGAAAGTTGCATGCAAAATATTTGATTGGATGGTTTTGTAAATGTCATTTCCTGCGAATTTCCAACAACTTGTGCATAAGGTGTGGTTGAGCTTTCTGGGTTTTCGGCCGAGTTCCTAATTTCCGGCACTCCCCTCGCTCGTTGACCTTCTTCTCCAAGCTCCCATACACTACTCGCTCGCTAATGATCATGACACGCTATTACAATGTTGTAGACCTATTCGTTGTAATGTTCTCCCTCCTGTTCTTGAGACCTGTTCCATTCTCATTTTTGATAGCATGGTCCCTGGACATCTTTTATCTTGAAACTTTTCTGACACGCCATGTAGAAGCTTCCCTTGCAGACAAACTGAGCCACGACAGGCACACTGTAGGCTCGAAATGACGACCGGTCAGATGGGGTAAGGAACCTATTTTGGTAGATAGATTAGAGTTCTGCACAGGGCCGAGCCAACCCGAAAGCCCAAGCCAAGCCAAGCCCGGCCCGCAGTCCGGGCCCGGATTGAGTAGCACAGGTCGTTTCCGGACCCAGGCTGGGCCTGGGCCACGTAGCACAGATAGTTTCCAAGCCCGGGCCTGGTTTGAGCCCGGAAACACACAGATGTTTAAAATTTTTAATTTATCGTGACTTCAGTTCATAGTGTACGGCATAGAATCTGTGACCTGCATATGTTCTGTAATGTCTCGAAACTTTTCATCTTTTGAATGAGCGCCATTATGATCTCCATGTTGACATTAACATTTTTTTGCCGACACAAAACGTCTTGACAGCGTCTTTCATGCCAATTAGGCCAAACGAATCAAATGCACCAACACCCCCCAATGGCATCTTTGAATTTAAGAGATGAGGCACACCTTGGTCTCTTGGACTACCTGATCAGGCCCGGGTTGGGCCTGATCAGGTAGTCATCCCGTCGGGTCGGGTTCGGGTCGGGTAAGACTAAGAGTCAGCTAGCCCGGGCCAGGCCTCAAAAAGTAGGCCCGTGCAGTGCTCTAGGATAGATAGATAGCCATACAAACCATATCTAGCATTCAATAAGGCTTTGCAGGCTTCACAGCATTAGATGATTCAGTCTCTGTAGCTGGCCCGTACGCTGTCATTAAAAAAATGTATGAAGCTTGCAACTCGCACGGGTTAGTGCAGTCTGATGTTGGTCCTTGAAGGAAGCATTTTATGACAGTGCACTCGTTAAGGAAGGTAGGTGGGTGGGAATGGATGGCATGCTACTTTATTCATTGGGCCATCCTTTCAAGGGCAATTCTGGTCAATATTTTTTTAACTTGGGATTACTACTGTTCTAAGATAAAGCAATGTCCCTGAATCACGAAGTATAATATTTTTCTCGATATTGGGCATAGTTTTGTTTTGGGCGTCTACGGCGAAACCGAAACTATCTGCTAGAGGGATGGCAACACTGATCATCAGCCGTACGGCCGTGACGTGACGTCGCAGAGGTGCTGTGGTACGCGGTAGAACCAATTAACCGCAGCTCCACCTTGGCGTGACGTTGCAAAGGTGCTGCGCCAGTGTTCCTTGACTAAAGGCTGACCCTTTTGCTGCTCTCTAAAGAGCATCTAAGGGCTGGGGGACGGACAGGTTGGAAACTGAGTTAGGGCTATATGGTGACGGTGGTTTGATGGGACGTGAGATGATAAAATCGAAAAAATAGAGTGCAGGCGAGCTGGTGTAAGTTGAACATGATTGTAAACCTGAGACTGGGGCAGAAAAGAGAGCATAACAGAAGGTAGTAAAAGAGGAGGCAACGTCTCAATGACATTGCCTCCTCTTTTGCTTTCGATGGTTGGTCCCATTCCATCTCCGCCGCGCGTGTCCGCGGGCCCCCTTCTATAGCCGTGGTGATGTGACAGTGTTGCATCACCAGCGGGACTTCTGTGTGATTGGTGGTGGCTGCTGGCTTTGATCAAGATGAAGTCCAACAGCCACTCTTATTGGCTCGGAGGTTTATGTCGCCGCAGCAGCAGCTTCTCGATGTTGGAGAAAGAGGAAGACGAAGACTCGTTGATGATGGTTACCTCAACTGATGTTCAAAAGCCTTGGTTCCGGGCCTTTGAGAGGGTCTCTGCCAAGCGATGGTGTTGCGGACCGTCCCTGTAAGTGTGCCCTAGATGGAGCGCGGTCTCACCGGGGTTCGGAACGTAACTGCAGTAGAATCAAACAACCACAGCTCCCACTTGGTGCGACGTTGCAAGGGCGCTGCGCCAGTGGGAGCTGTGACTAAAAGCTGACCCACTTGCTGCTCTCTAAAGAGCAGCTGGTTGTATCTTTAAAATTCATTTTAGTGGAATATGCGGCTTTACTTCGACATAATATTTCGGCCATGATCATACTTTGTGCCATTAAAACGATGCCAGTCATTTATTTTGGTTTCGTTTTTGACTGGAGTGGCCCTTTAACTATTGCTGGTAATTGAAAATGTCTTCTGCCGAATTGCGTGAGCACCGTGTTTTTATTGGGATAAGTAATCTCTAAACCTGGCTAACTTTGTTCCACCCTTCAATCTATTTCGTTTCTCATGTCTTTTTTTTTACATTCTCTAGTCGCTTTGTGAAACAGCAATGAAATTGATTACACAAATTTTGCTCCTTTCCTGCACTAGCATGGCATAGGCAGTGGTGACAAAAATATTGTGTGTTGTTCTGCAGTTATGTTTGCAGACGAACTTGGTACACATTTTCTGCCTCAGCGACACACACACTGTCATGGCCAATGCCTCTGAAAGAAAACCCTGCCCAAAGCTAGTGCCCCGGGATGAATGGAACACAAGGTTTCCGTTCCTTGCAATCGCACACCCCATCTTTGACCCTTCTATTTCATATCTCCCCATTTTCTTCAAAACATGTGCTTGTTCTCTTCACTCACGCCTCCTACACACTCTTCCACCATACGTGTGAATGTGCACATTCAACACCTAGACAACAAGGCCATAATGCTGGATTTGTTTTTATGTCAGCTGGCAGAGGCCAGCGTGGGACGCAGATCGGGAGCAAGTGCTGCATTAGTGTTCAGCTGTGATTTGTGTTCTATCAGTGAAAGGAGGACACAAGTTCCAGCTGAACTCGTACTCGGCACTCGTGCGACTCTCCCGTTACAGAAGTGCATTGCGGGAAGTGGCTAAGAGCCAGCCACATAAAACGTTCCGCATTAAAATGTTGCCAGCATAGAGATCGGTGGAACGTCCAGTCCATAGGAATCTGCACTTGCACATGTGCAGCAAGAGTCTACAGTAGCCTTCGGTTTAAAACCAAGTGGAATTTTATTCTCGTGCCGTAAGTGGCCGTGTCAGCAGCCGTCTGGTCTGTGGTCGGGTTCCATTCCGTTTAATTTTTGTGTTTCTTTCTGCAAGGGGGCAATGGCAGAGGGCAAGAGGTGGAGTCGTCACTTTTCCATCCGACAGGCCTTCCCTTGTTATAGTTGCGTAGCCATTCCAGCAGAGGCTGGAAGTAGTCCATCAGGGGTCCTGCATCCATGTTCTTGGTCTTGCCCTTGGTCAGCATGCCCAAGACTTCTGGCCATGGCTTGGACTGCCCGAGCTCCAACACGTCACTGTTGCAAAGGGCAGTAAATGTTGCGTGTGCCGTGTGCTCACGGCATGGTAATCTGTGTTTTTCTTAATTTTGGATACCTCTCGAAGCACTTTTATTTATTGAAGGGCTGTAGGGAACCCTCCTGCAAGTGCAAAATCTGAATGCTTGTTTTTAGAGCGCAGCTCTTAGGCGCCCGTTTCCGGCTTGAGCAGCGTCGCCGACAGCGTAACCAAGGTCACCCCAAGGTCACATGACCCCTCCCAAGGTCACGTGCCCCCAGGTCACCCCAAGGTCATGCGAGCACTCCCAAGGTCATGTGACCCCTCCCAAGGTCACGTGATCCCTCCCAAGGTCACGTGACCCCCCCTCCCCAGGTCACCTCAAGGTCATGTGATCCCCAAGGTGGCCCCCATGTGACCCCCAAGGTCACGTGACCGCCCTAAGCTCATGTGACTTCCCTCCCCTTCCAAAGTCACGCGATACCCCCCCCTGAGGTCACGTGACTCCCTCGACCCGAGGTCAGGTGACCCCCCCCCGGAGCATATTAAAGCATGAGCGGAGGAGAAGGAGGAGGAGGGGTCTATTTCCCCTCAGTACCCTTCCCTCCTCTTCCTCAAGAGCTGCGCTCCAGTTCGGCGTTACAGGGAGTTGTAAACGGCTTTCACTTTTACAGCGCAGCTCTTAGGCGCCCGTTTCCGGCTTGAGCGGCGTCGCCGTCGGCGTAACCGCGCAGTGCATTATGGGTAAATTTCCCCGCTAAATCTAGCGGAAAAATTTCCCCGCTAAATTTAGCGGAAAAATTTCCCGGCTAAATCTAGCGGAAAAATTTCCCCACTAAATCTAGCGGAAAATTTCCCCGCTACATTTAGCGCACAAATTTCCCCGCTAAATCTAGCAGAAAAATTTCCCCGCTAAGTCTAGCGGAATATTTTCCCCGCTAAATCTACTAGAAAAATTTCCCCGCTAAATCTAGCGGAAAAATTTCCTTGCTAAATCTAGCGGAAAAATTTCCCCGCTAAATCTAGCGAAAAAATTTCCCCGCTAAATCTAGCGGAAAAATTTCCCGCTAAATCTAGCGGAATAATTTTCCCGCTAAATCTAGCGGAAAAATTTCCCCGCTAAATCTAGCGGAATAATTTCGCCGCTAAATCTAGCGGGAAAATTTCCCCGCTAAATCTAGCGGAAAAATTTCCCCGCTAAATCTAGCGGAATAATTTCCCTGCTAAATCTAGTGGAAAAATTTCCCCGCTAAATCCAGCAGAAAAATTTCCCCGCTAAATCTAGCAGAAACATTTCCCCGCTAAATCTAGCGAAAAAATTTCCCGCTAAATCTAGCGGAAAAGTTTCTCTTCAGGTCAGGTGACCCCCCGAGGTCAGGTGACCCCCCCAAGGTCACGTGACCCCCGTGGTCACGTGACACCCCCAGGTCACGTGACCACCCCTCCCCCCCGATAACACGTGAACCCCAGTACCCTTCCCTCCTCCTCCTCAAGAGCTGCGCTCTAATTCGGCGTTACAGGGAGTTGTAAACGGCTTTCATTTTTATTCACAAGTTCAATTAAAATGTAACCTTAAAGGGGGCAGAAAATAGTGCCATGAACTTGTCACATACTCTAATTTTATTGGTAAGTATATATTTTGCTTTTCTTTATGTACACAACTTTTTAGAGGAAGAATGAATAGCCAGAAGCTCTTTGAGCACTTTCCATGCTTGCATACTTTTGGGGTATGTCTCCTGACATAGTGCTGGGAAGTTAATAGGCTTTAGAAGGTCTTTTTTTTTTTTTTTGGTCTGGAGATGTGGCATTGCGATCTATTCTGATATTGAGTTATTCAGTGTTGCAAATGATAACAACCTGAAGCTTCAGAAGTAATCTGAAAAGTAACACTTAGTTTTTCAAGTAATCTAATATTACTTTTGTCTCAAGTGATCCAGTGATCTAATTCGATACTTTTATACCCAGAGTAATTGTAACCAATCATTTTTTTCTGAGTAACATGCACAAAGCTGCTTACTAGTCTCGCGCCACCTATAGCCCTGGCACCTCGCTCGGTGCCTTGGGGAGCAACGGGTTAGCAGATGATGGTTTAATTCTCGCTGCTTTTTGTATTTTGGTATGTTGTCACATTATGGACGTAACCATTGAGAAGAAGGTTTATAGTGCACAGAGCTGCCTAGAGGTGGCGCAAGATTGTCGAATTCAAAATGGCGACATGTGGTTTACGGGTTTTCTTCAAAAGCATCCAGGAAGCTGAGAGCATGACTGCTTTGTTTGAGGAGCGCAAAAATTAACTGCTTTCTGTCAAAATGGTTTAAGTGTCGAGACTTCTGCATGCAGGCTTGATTTAGATACAACACAGGTGTGCGAGGGCTTTTTCACTGTAGGAACGGCATTCCTGAAAAAAGCAGAATTTTCGCCAGCAGTACTGTTATTCGATGCATTGAATTATTTGAAACTCAAATGCTAGGAATTTGATCACAAATCCAATTATTCGGACAATCATTATTCAATTCAAGCTTGAAACTCGAATAGCACATCCCTAATTAAAACTGGATTAGCATTAGGTTGTGACTTTTACTTCATTTAAAGGGTAACTCTGGTACATTTACTTAAATTTAGAATGACAACTGTTTAGTGAAGGAAATGTCCCTAAATTACAAGCTCTCATCTTTTTATATGCTTTGTGTAGTTTTGTAGATATCTCAAAGTTTTGTTTTGGGGGTCAACAGCAGAACCAAAACTACCCGCTCAAGCATGATGGCAACCCTTGTGATCAGCGGCATGGCCACCGTGTGCCACGGTACTGCAAAACCTACGACTGGCCTAGTCACTAGAACAGTTCAGATCAGTTGGGTAAGATGCTACAGCCGTTTTACTGCATTGCTTCATAGATATGAAACATCTTTAGTAAATATTAATACATGTCAGTGATGTGATTGCTGCACCAATTGCGCCAAGGGACTAGCCCTGCTACACCCTGCTACATTTTGCCAAAATATGGGTAATCTGCGCCAAGCCTGCGCCAAAAAGCCAATTTTGTTCGCCTTACAAAACCGAAACTAAACTGAGTACCGTAATTGAGCATGCCTGTGTTATGTGGCACAAGTGGCCGCCCGACACAAAGTACCCTGCATCAATTGCCCATCCGATCTTGCATGGTTTTCCCGCCGTCTCGCGTTCGGCGCTCTCGTAAATCTCGTCTCGCGTCTTTTTTTTTTTTTTTTCAACGATAGACACGGGTTTGTGCAGATGTTCCGACGCTAGCGTGCCGGGTACCAGCCATGCTGTGAAACAAAACCACGTTTTTGCGTGGCGGGGGTACTTTGTGTGCTGAAGCACTCGCTCCTGAGACAGCGGCCGTGGGAAAACTATTTTTGGTACCTGCCTTCCAGTCACCGTGGTCGCGCGACATCAAGTGTTGCCGTCCCCACGTCAGGCACTTTCTAAAATTAAACTAAATACTGCCGCATGTTCATCAGCATTCCTGTTCTTGTTTAAATCATACGTTACTACAAAAATCCATCTTTAACTCAAAGACTGCTGTGTCGAAGTATTGATTACCTAGGTTTCTCTCGGTGCACTTTGTTTTGAGAGAGACCCGGTACATGAAAAATCTGCCGCAAAAGAAAGTTGGTGAAGGGCAGTGAGCTAAAGCAAAGAAGTCAATGTCTGAACGCTGAACCCACACAGCGCGCTTGTTTGTCTCGAGTTCAGTCGTTGCACAAAGCGCCCCAAGAACTTTTTGACCGCGGCTCGCAATGTCTTTGCGCTCAAGTTCTTTTTTCTTTGTGTGTCTCGCTTGTACCTTGTTTGCCAGCGTGGCAAGCATGCACCGTTGGACTTACTTTGTCGTATGCTCGACAGTTACATTTCCCATACAGTTTTGAGAATCAGTTGGTGACGGAGCAGAGTGGCATGGTTTCGGTTTCAAACGAACAGCCGTTGTCTCCGCTTGCGCGACAAGGCACGCGCAACTGCAAGCCTGCCGAAGTTGCCCTCACATGCATGCGAACATGATTGCACGACAGAGGCACCTGCCGGGACGCTTGCAATCCATTTTACGTTTCCTTACTTTTGACGAAAATCTGGCACGTCGGGAACCAGTAAAATGGTGGCAAGCAGATTTTCAGAATTGCTCGGCAACGCCTACAGCACTGTACACTTGTGGGATGTATCAGCAGTAAACACACAAGCAGCGAGTTCCGTTGCAACACGTCACATCAGAACACCACACAAGACAAAGTACCCTTTGTTTGTGCAGCACTTAAAACAAACATTTTTTTTTTTAAGAATATCTACTCCAAAAGTCACTTTTGCTGTTCCAAAACACTGCCTTGGCTGCTCCCAAAGCCACTTTTGGTGCTCCAAAAGCACTGCTTTGGTTGCTCTAAAAGCCAAATTTGCTGCTCCAAAACACTGTTTTGGCTGCTCCAAAAGGTGCTCCAAAATGGCGTAGGCCAATCACATCACTGACTCGTTCATAAAGTTGTCGGCCAAAGAGAATTAACTTGCTTTAACAAAAAGCGAGTTTGCCACAATGATTGCTGGCTAAGAAATGTGAAATGGATGTTGCTGAAGCGTTATGGAATCTAATCATAAGCTTGCAATGAGCAGGAACGGCACTAAACTATTGTCGCCAGTGAATGCCACCTTTGGTGCCACGACACGCTTGAGCGAGTAGGGAGTCAACAATCTTCGTGCACGATTGCTGAGGACCGCTTACAAGCTATGACCGCTAAAACAACATAAGCAGAAATCGTCCTCTGGGACGGCTGAAAACCTGGCGAAAGTAGTGGCACTACTAACAAGTAACCTCCATGATTATGAACATAACATTGGGGCACAAGGTTGCTTCAGAAACAGCCAGCCCACTGAATGCCCGCTGAGAAACTGGTGGTAGCATTTTTAATATTGGTTTTAGAGTGGATTGTGGTTTGCCATTATGGGATATTTCGGCAGTGCTCGTATTTAATTTGGTCATTTTGGCAGTCATTTAGTTTGGTTCGACTTGTGACCGTAGTTACCCTTTAAAACTACAGCTTTGATGAACCCACTTAGTAACTCTAAAGGCTGGTTCATACCTTAGTTCATGCAGCACTGTTCTCTTGCATTTTCTTATGCTATGTACAGATCACCGAAACATTTGTGTCTAATGTCATGTGCCAGGTGGTTTCCTTAAACTGGTAGCCGCACTTAATATGAAGCGCCTGTATTGCGGTGAGTTGTGCCATAAGCAGGCGTAAGCTTCGTAACAAAAAGTAAGAAAATGGGTCTCGGGTACGCTCCGTGAACCCGCCTCTATGCTGCAGACTTCCAGCATCTTTTTTTGTCTGTATGTGACATATTGCTATCAATCTATCTTGCAACGTGTATTGAAACCTACCCAGATCTGCCAGAATCAACATTGAAAACAAAAATTACATCCATGCCATGCACACTAAAGAGCATCTAAGTGAACAGACCCGAAGAGCTTCCCAGCTTCCTTGGACTGGTAAAAGTCACACTTATGGAGTGGTCCGACGTGCCCAGCTTCTTCGCAGAGCGCCTTGTAGAACTGGAACTGTAGTACTATGCTCACGAAGTACCTGGAATGGCATCGTAACACCATATAATATCGTAACTGGATGACCATTCTTTTTGAAAGTTTTACCTAATGTATGGGACATTTGCAGAAATGTGGTACTTGGCCGGAGGATCGAAGTCTTCGGAGGTACGAGAGACTCCTGGACAGATGCCTTGGTATTGCAGCCTGAAAACATGATCAGATTTCGAGTGAAGAACTGTGATGGCATGTGGATAGGAGGGGTGTGCCACTATCCTCCATTCACCCTTTCTCAACCGGAAGCTGAGATTACGAGCTCTCCGCAGCAATCCTAGGAGGTGCCTGGCGTCTCGTGATTTCGATCTACGTGAGCACATACGTTCGACAAGAGAGCCGCATGATTCATTAGGCAAACGGGATTTGGGCCGACGATCTGGAAGCGTTGCATCACGACAAGAGAAACCGCGTTCGGCCACCATTGTTCTGCTCAAAACCGTGTTTCATGTAGTAAACTGTGACCTGGTCAGTTGTGTATAGTTCGAGAAGCAAATCTGCCACACTCGCAGCTATAAGCATTTATGTGTTTGCAAATGTTGTACGTGGTTCACAAAGTATGGCCGTCAAAATATTGGCCAGCAACCAGTAGTCATGCTGAGTAGCTCCAGCCAGCAGGGTGGCATTAACAGATGCAGAGCATTCAGGATCCCGTGGTGACCAGCTTCTTACAGATAGCCCTTGCATTATCCTGATGGCTAACACGTCTTAGGTTAACTACTTAGGGGTTTTCTATGAATGCTAGTGGATGGCCCTTTAATTTCACAATGTGCACAGTTTGGCAATCCAGGCTTTAGTTTTTTGTTAACAAAATAAAGAGGGACTCTTTCAAGAATAATCTGCCAGCCTTGGCAAACGTCGAAGATTGCAAAAAACATACTAATTAGCTAAATAATTACCTAAGATTTGCTAATCAGCTTTTTAGTGGAAGTAAACTCGCTTTTTATTAGAAACCTGCTGAGCATCATTGAACACAATTAAATGAACTCATTTTAGAGAGATATAAGGCACGTTCAGCATTTTATTGCATTTAAAAAATATTACATTTGGACAGGTTCATAGTTTTCAGTTTCTTATCGAAGCGCATCTTTGCACCAACGGTCCTTCCCCCTCGTGGCCCTACTATGGTGAATCCTACAAAGGGGGCGAAGCTACTGCCTCACCTCCTTTGTAGGATTCACCATAGTAGTGTGGAAGGAAGTGGCACACGTGCACTGCACGCCTCTGTTACCGGGGGCCAGGATTGCTGGCGCAAAGATGCGTTCCAACAGAAAACCGAAAACTATAAACGCCGTAAAATGCTGTATCTACCTTATATCTTTCTATCATGAGTTGATTTAGTGGGTTTCGGTGTGCAGCAGGTTTCTAGTTGCAAGCATATGTTTATCCTCACTAATTAAAAGCTGTTTAGTAAATCTTCATTAATTATTTTCATTTTATTTTTGCAATCACCTATGTCTATTGTGGCTGGCAATTTGATCCCAGAACAAGTTTCTTTTTTTTTTTTGAACCTCCCTATTTCTAGGGATTTTGAAAGTCTTCACTGAAACGACCGGTTTATTTTTTAGTGGTGTTGGTTCGTTACACTAGAACATTAGGTGGTCACTGGTGGCAGCTTGCTCTCAATTTCTGCGCATGAGCATAATGGTCGAGCTTATGTCGAAATTTCCATTAAAAGTCCAAAAAAGTAGAACCTGGTGAAACTTGAACCAGGTTCGCGACATCCCTTCCTATACTCTGTCCTCCTCTAAGCTAACAGTGCTGGGGAAGCTACGCTCTCTTGGAACCAGTTGTACGCCCACCTTTCTTTACATGATCACTCTCCCGCTCATACTCTCCGCTCATACTCTCCGCTCATACTCCCGCTCATACTCTCCCGCTCAAGAGGGGTCAGGTGATAAAAGAGAGGCGGTTGACCGGCTGGCGAGCACGTAGCTCCCACCACACTGTCAGCTAAGGGGTCAACCTGCGGTGCCTCACGGGCACGTGTGATTCCGTACCCTGGACGCAGTGTTGCGAACATGCCACAGAAACCGTATGCTAGTGGTTAATTTATACAGTGTACGTCCCCTCTGTTGCAATAACTTTTTGTCTCGCAAACATCGGCTGTGCTCTTGAACGACATGCACGGGCGGCAGTGGTTCAGACGCTGTTGCACATGGTGTGCCGTGTGCTTCGGAGCCAATATTGCCCGCCGCTCGAACGTTTCGGTGTCGATTTGTGATCGTGTCTAAAGACTTCTTCAAGGATGCCTAACTTTTTTGGAAACAAATATTGTAGAGACGTTCGTTGGTACTTTTTAATGTGGCAGCGCTAAACTCGAAACATTGACACTTTGTAAGCGCTCATGTCCTTCAAGCACTGCAAAGTTTCTCAAGGTAGCGCTCTTCAGGACCTGCCCACATACACGCTCATTCAATTGAGCACATAGATCTTAAAACAAGCACAATGACTTGGAGGCAACATTTGATATGAAACTAAAACTCAAATAAAACAAAACAATCCGAGACAATACCTCAGGGAAGAGCGGAAGGCAGAAACTCGTTTCCAGTTGTTCCCATGCGCCCATAGCAGACAACTATGGTGTATAGCAGGGGTGGCCAGGTTGACCCGGCCTAAGAGCCGCAAACAAAACCACGAAACTTCGAAGAGCCGCTGGGGAAGGGGGAGGGGGGCAAATTTTTGTCCAGAGCAATAAACGAAACTCAAACTACTTTTAATCTATCCGAGTCAAAAGTAGTCCAACTGTACGTAAGGTAGCTGTAGCACACAACTACCAAACCGCAACCTGTCTTTCAATTTAAAACATATTCCATTTTTCTTTTTGGGGAAGTGCTCGTGTGCCCCAGAGAGAAGGGGGGGGGGGAGCCACACTTTAACACGCGAAGAGCCGTAGCTTGGCCACCCCTGGTGTATAGTAAGGGACCGCATTGAATTGTGACGTCATGTGAATCGTCCCTACAAGTCCTACGGACTAGAGAACTACCGTAATATCCCAAGATGCCCCACTCCCAAAAGATAGCCCACCCCCAATTTTGGCATGATTTGCTATTTTTTCAGAAACATTGAAAGATAACCCACTTCCAGTAATTTTAGGGTACTGGCCAATGGTGACCTGGGCAAAACCGGTGTTACTTAACCACGGCGGGAGATAAGCGAGCATCACTGACTGCGAAGGACAGTTGCCCTTGGCAGTCAACAATGTTTTTTGGTTCATTGCCCCTTCCTGCGAGGGTCACAAAATTTAAAACTAGCATATTTTTCAACTTTTTTTATGGCACACCAAAAGTTAGCCCACCCTTCATTTTCATCCGATTTTCTATCAATATTATGTTGGCTATCTTTGGCAATATTGCGGTACATAAAAAGCATAATGGTTGCGTAACAGCTTTTTACTTACAGCAGGTCCCACCAGCCCTTGTTGTAGTTCTCGGGCTTGTACTTGCCCTTGAACACATTCCAGCGCCAGAGGTCGTAAATATACACAGATGGAATCACCGCCACTTTGTCCAGAGCAATGCTGTACAAGTAGTTTATATCTGTCTCTGCAAGTGAAGAGAGAACATGTAATAACTCTCAGTGTCTCGAAATTTCTTTTGGACTTCAAATGTGAAACCGAGTACCTTCATCTTCGGCACCTTCTTCTAGAAGTCCAATGGCTTTCAGATGCTTTGGTGTGGCAACAGACAAGGCCATAGTGTCCCCTATGGCTTCATGGAAACCTGTAAAATTGATGATGTGTTATAATTATAATGCAATTAAATGCAAAGGTGCAAGCGAGCTGGACAAGAATGACGTCATTCTTGTCCAGCTCGCTTGCACCTTTGCATTTAATTGCATTATAATTATAACTTTAAATTTGCAAGCTTCACCCTTGTTGGTGTTAGACTGGTCGCAGCTGATAAAACCCGTTTGCTCTACTGACGTCTAACCCCTGGTTAGCTCAGTTGGTAGAGCGCTCCACCTGTAATGGAGAGGTCCCGGGTTCGATACCCGGACCAGGCGGATTTTTTCAGACGCTCACCAGTCACCTAGCTGTGTTTGGAGATTTATGTTTGTCCTTTGTCCCTCTTGTTTCCCTTCTCCAGGGATTATCTTCGTCATTGATGATGTGTGTTTTTGCAAAAACACTATAAAATTTTTACGTTTTTAGATTAACCGGTACAATTGATGCGTAAACTTGACCAGTCAAAAGTTCTTCAAATTTTTTTGTGGCAGTCCCTTCCGTGTGATAAAATTTAAAAATGTGAGTCTGTTGCATTTCTAAAATTTCCAATTGTGTGCTTACCAGGATTTGCCCCATTCCTAAAGAAGTAGGGCTGTTTTGCATACTTCAGAAAGTACTCCACATGTCCCATCTCATGGTGAACCACAATCAAATCATCCATCTTGACTTGTGTACACTGCTTGATTCTGTGAGTAGAAGAATGTGCATGTCAACTATGTGTGTTCTAGTTTATTCCCGTGTACAGCTAGCTCTGGGCTAGTTTAACCTTCAACCAAGTACACTTCCAGAAAGCATAGATCTGACACGAGTACAATTCATGCTAGACTACTCGACAGGTGGCCTGCTTTACACCTCTGTGCAGCATTAACATCATTCAGTATTTAGATCCAATAATGTCTTACTGAGCATAATGGAATCTATCCTGCGAGTTATAACGGGATTAGATGTTTCTAATGCATGTTATACCGGACTCGGTTAGCCGTTACATGCGAATAATGGCCACTCCAGGGAGCTGTCATATGCATGTGCCTTTTAGGGTGAGAATAATTTGACCATTTCGCAACACAGTTATTTTCATTTTTGTTTTCAAGTTTTACTGGCATTTCAAATTCAGCGCCTCACACACTTTGTCTCTAATCACCTTGAGTCTCCACCTTGAGACAATTGTATCACTGTGTAAATGTGTATGTGTGAAAAACTTTTAGCAGCATAAGTAAGTGCTGTATGAAGGCTCCCTAGGCAGGTTTTTGCAGCTCTGCCGCATTGTAGGCATTCCCCCAAATACTTCAAATTGAATGCTTCAAATCGATAGCGCCTCTCCGTGTCAAATGTGCGTTTTTTTTCGTCCTGTTTTGTTTGTGCCTTGTAACCTTTTAATCAATATGTACCAACTAGCCCCAACCAAAGTTTTATTGAACCAAGGTGCGGCGGAAAGTGCTGTTCCCGATCAGGATCAAACACATGGTATATGTGGGAACATTTGTAGCACATTATAAAGGTTCTTCGTGCGGTTGCCGAAGGTATGACTGATATCTTCAGTGGCAATGGGAGTTAGGGACAAAAAAGTAACCAAGCAGGAGTTATCTGATTGGTGGCAGATAGAAGGATTAATATTTTTCTTATTCTCCTGGCAGACTGTGGAGCGGGATGCACACAGTCGCAAAGAGGTGCTTCCATTGCAAGGATTATAATATTTAAAAATGATTAAAAAAGGTTGACTTTAACATTGTGTACATTAGATAGATGTTATCTTTGAAACGAGAAACAAGCTGTGCGGCACAAACCGCAAAAGCTTTAGTGGTATGCATTTGTTCATCTGTCGCCGTGGAGTGTCATGCCTAACAAAAGTAGACATGGTACGTCCGTGCAAAACGTTAATATTGATTCATTTCAAAAGTGACCTGTTCTAGTTTCGAAAGTTGTATACATAAATTTAGTACTCACCACTACCTGAACAACAATTTCACCAGGATGAGCGTTGCATATATATTGCACGAAGGGACATTGCACTAGCCGTAGACGGGCTAAGCTCCAGAATAGGCCACATTGGGAGTGGGACACAGTTAACTCTACATGAATATTTTGCAATATATTTTTTGCAGCACTCCTTCGCTAACTTACCTAACATCCGATGTTCCACAGAAGTCCCAAGCAGATGCGTGGCAAATGATTTCTCTGTTCGTGGGCTTTTCCAGCACAGACTTTTCCCAGAAAGATTTGGGCATCGGCGGAAGCCCGAGTGACGTAAAAAACTCCTCAGAGAGCAGGAACATGTCCTTTGCCGTCATGTTCTGTTGGCCAACGTGAGTGATTACTTTAAACATAAAGTAATCTATGTCTTCGGTAATATGTATCAGAGTATCTTCCATGCTCACCTTCTTCCTCATGGCATCAGTAACATCAATGGTTGGTTTTCCAACATATGGTTCAGTGAACTTGTTCAAAGAGCTCCAGTCTTGAGCGTGGATGTGTCCTGCACATTTGCATTCAAATTTAATCGCAAGAGTTTGCGAAGATTTTGTTCCTTTTTTGTTGTTTTTTTACGTTTGTATTTCAGTGCCATAAAAAGTATTCCAAATGCATGCATTTAGTGTGTCGAGAAGCTGCACTTCCACGCATTGGAAGGCCCGGAACGGCCGAAGCTTGCCATAAAAGAGGAAAAAGAAAAGCAAAACGAGCTGGGATACATATAAAACAGGCTTACATCATGACACAAAAGAGGTGGGGACTACAGGTAACACATTACAAAAAAGGTTGGAAGAAATCTTGTATGTTGCTCGCATCACGTGTCATGCTCTGTTCCTGGCTTCTTTTAGACAAAATTTTTTTTAAATTATATTTTGTTGATTGCGTACGGTAACTGGAGCTCAAATGTTTATCAAATGAAATTAAGCGAATCAAACTGCACTCCTGGCCTTCTTTGTTGACCAAAGTGTGCGCTGGTTTGCACATATCAATACCCGGCTGCATAGACAGGCTCTCTGTGTCTTGAGATCATTACACAGAGCGGGCAGCAGAAACCAGATGATGACCAATGATCTCTTGGATGAAGTTGCCGTCAGTATGGGCAGCCGCCACTGGGTGGTGTTTGCTTTAGGTATCAATGCACCACGCTTACCACACCGATTGTGCGCTTACCCAAGAGGTGGGCTGGGATAGGACCATCTGCTTTGATCTTATCGCCATATTGCTCGCGAAGTCTGCTTCTCACGTAGGCATGCAGTTCCTTGTAAAGAGGTTCCAACTGCAGCCACAACTTGTGCAGCGTTTCTTCGAAACCGTCGTACTCGTATACGTGTTGCCACATGCCGCTGGCGTCCTTGAAACCTGCAGCAGGTTGAGAAGTGCGGAACGTTAGACTGAAGGACCTTAACAGAGAACTGTTTGGCTCAAATGATGTTATAATCGATGCTAAAATATTTATATTGAGAAATATTTTTGTACTAATATTTAAAATATTTCAGATGCGGAGGCAGTTTGAAGGGACATATTGTTTCCGAACCAGGAGGGACGATATAGTCGAAGAAACAAAAAAGTTTTCCTGGTGTTCTATTTTTTTTTTTTTCCAGAGAACACTATTTTAAAGAAGTGGTTCTAAGGATTTTGTAATTAACTTTATCACTTTCATATTTAGTATTAAATCCAAAAGCTCATAAACAGACGTGTTCCGTAAAATTGATGCTGTTGAGAAAAAACAAATACCCTTGAAAGTCATGTTGCGTACTAAAACAAATTTACGCCCTCGTAAAAATGTTAACAGCTTTTCCCAATGCTCACTCCATAACTGTATTACAGCACACCTTCAGGTTGCTGGTAAACACTTTAAATAGTGTGCTGGCAGTCTTATCAGCATCCTAGATATATTTTCTTACAAGCAACAAGTTTATATGCAACATGCTCATTATAGAGCTTCACATGCACATAACCAATAAATGCATGCAGATACAATGAAACCTGTGCGAGACAGAAATCGCGAATCTTTTGACTGCCCCAATTGAAAGCGACTCATTCGCTGGTGACTGCGCCTCTGCAATTGCAAAGGTTCCAAGCATGTTGCTTTGTTCTGTTGTACAAGCTCGAGCTTACCATTGAGCTTAGCAGCTTCGTTCTGGAGTTCCACGTAGCGAAAGTATTTTGCTTTGACCGGCTTCCCCGCAACTTTCCGCCATTCATTCCAGACGTACAGCAGCTCATCGTAGTTCCTTGAATCCTGGAGGGTGTTCTTGATGGCTGCCAGGCAGAGTACGGCGAGATTAGCATGTCTCGTTCACAGAGAACAAAAGGGTGAAGTGAACAGTGAGGAGCTGGTATTTACTTGGTTCTAACGGCACGTTGCATTCGTCGGACGTGTTGGTCTTTCGAACAAATGGGCAAATTTTTCCTCCTCCGTGGTTGCTATCCATGTCGGAAATTATTTTCACCAACTGAAATCGCGTACATGCGAGGTCAGTAGTTGGGTTGTGGAATTTTAGGCTTGTAAGGTCTGACGACTGAGAAAACATGATCAGTGGGCTTTAATCCACTGTGTGGTGTTACGACTGGAACAGCATCCTCAAATCTCAAAGATATCAAATAAAAAAAGTTGTGGTGGACAATATTTATTTAACTTTTGTCAACCGTACGAGGAACCAGGACGTGGTGAATAGACCTGACTATATGCAGCAAACATAAGCAGATACAAGCATAAAACCGAAAAGAGAGATAGATAGGTTATAAAAGCCTTTATGATCGAGAATTAACACACCAATGAAAAGGGGAACGAAATTGAGGTGTAGTAACTTACTTTTGTGTTACTTTTTTTAATTAAGAATTAACATGTTTTACTCTTTGACATGACAGGTATGCATGAGCGCCATTATTCAAAGGACATATGTCCATCCAGAAAATGAACATAATTACTTTATCTTTTTTATGGTTTCATCTAAATACTCACAAAATAAAATGCAAAAAAAAAAAAAAGAAAAAAGAAACAAACTTGTATAACTTGGCACCTAAAACATGATAAAAAGACTAAGCCCGTTCACACTCTTTCGACCTCTTAGAACTGGGCGCCTTGAAACCTCTTAAAACGAGAGGACACACTGGCGCCATCTATTGGGTAGCAGTGTAAACTTAGCGGCCCGGCGTATTTTCTATTTCTCTCGTGCATTATCCTTTCTTTCCTGGCTTGAAAAACTTTTGTCCACGTTACAAACAAGCACATTTGACCTCGGAAATCCCGCAAAACCTTCGCTCTTGTGAAATGTAGTTCCAGGATCACTGCATAGATGGCACTAGAATGCCAGTGTGTTCCCTCGTCCTAAGATATTTTAAGAGGTTTCAACAGGCCTCGTCTCTCTCGGTCGTAGTCGGTTTCAAGAGTGTGAACGGGCCTTAATTCATTTAAGTCTTGGGAAGAATATGTAACGAATAATGTAACTATGTTACCCGTTATTTGAAATAAGTAACGTAAGTATATAACCCGTTGCTGTTTTGAAAATGTAACGAGTATGTTACATCACAGAAAAAAAGTTGCGCGTTACTGCCAACGCTGGTACCATCCCACTTGCAGTGTGGGTCATCGTGGCTTTCATGTGGTTATACTTGTTCCAAGTGGTGGACAATCATTATTTATAAACAAGTGCTCTCGCCAACAGGAGCTACAACACGCTGGGGCAGGAAAACACTCTTCGAAGAACAAAGTGCCGGCGTACGCTCACTCGGTTCCATAAAACGCGTCAGTGCTTTGGCAAACGTACCTCGGTTCGCTCGTCCTCCGGCAGGATCGCTGTGCCGAGCACCGACAGGCGTCGGAAGATGGTGCGCGTCTTCTCGTCCTTGAAGCCAGTCCATTTGAATTGCGTGGCGTTCTTCCAGACCTCTTTCTCCAGAACGTTGGCCCGTAGGGTCTGTTCTACCTGTGGCGTGAGGAACAAACATTTTCCCAAGTCCCATCGTTATTTCCGGTCCCTGCTGCTTTGCCTTATCTGCATTCCTTAATTTAGCGTGTCCTCAGCGTTGCTCACAAGATGGCCTGGAGATATTTGCTATCTAAATAATATGACCTCGACCTGGTAACCACTTCAGTCTTTTTCGGTCCCTGTTCGACAAGAGTGTTGTGGACGTCACGTGTGCACCAGCGGTGGTGCTGGTGCACCAGCAGTGGTGCTGCTGTCAGCCCGGTGCATGCGCATATTTCATATACACCAAGAGTTTTGGTCGATATGCATGTCAGTTATATTGAAAAAGCGTAATCTAAGTTAAAACAATGTGGAACCTAATTCGTACACACAGGCCTGTTGACAGTGGCCTCAAATTTATTTGTGAGGAGCCCCCCCCCAAAAAAGATCTGCAACTTCTCAGCCTGTAGCTTTTTCTTTCTTTTTTTTTTTTACACCGATCGCCTATGGGTGTTTCTTTTCCACTGTTCTAAAAAGCCCCCTCTGGACTATTCGTCACCCCCACCCAAAAGGCATCACCCTTTCCTAGCTGCGGTCTGCCATGAGGAATCTTCATTCTATTATGGTTTTAAGCCTAATGTGAGTCCGAAGTTAAAACAGCTTTTGAGAACTGGTTTAAAAATAAAAGGAAAGAAAACTGAATGAAAAGACAACAACATATGGGGATATGGTAACCCATGGTAGCGATATGGTAACCCATGGTGTTTTCCCCTAATATGAATGACCAACTAGCCCACTCGTCAACACATGGTAGCGGCGCTGGCTCAGTATTGAGTGAGCAGGCGCTGGGTCGTGATTTGGAGGAGAAGAATTAAGGATTAAAGGCCGTGCGTCGAGGAACGCGCAGTGGCATGATGTCGGGGTTCCGCGGGAGGAGCGCGCAATGGCTCAATCTTCACAGTGCCTTCGGGGGCTCTAATCTGGACACTTGACGAAAAAGTCCCGGCGCCGTGCTTGATGACCTTGGCGCTGGCCAATCACGGCGGCCGAATCGCTCGCCGGTTTTTTCGCCAAGTGTCCAGATTAGGACATCGGGAAAGGGACCGCTGGAAACGGCGCCGCGCAGAGACAAAACCATGGGCGCCGAGCCCGACGTACAAAGCGCGACACTGTTAGCGCGAACAAGCGATCGCCGTTTTTTTCCAGTTTCTCTCTTTGAGATTAAGGGATGTCATCCAAGTTATTATTTCTACGGAAAGAGCTGATATAGTTCTATAATGTAAGCGATAAAATTTCGTGCTCGCTGATACTATTTAGAAGTAAAATGCCGAAATAAGCCGATGTCGTGTTCGCGCTAACAGTCGCGATGTGTACGTCTGAAGACCGCGCTAAAATTGTCAAAGCAGTGCGCCAGTAAAGAGCTGCGCAGCTTGTGCAACGGCGGGGAGAGCAGCGGAAGATCGTTGAAAGTACCACCTAGGAGCAGAGTAGCGCAATCTAGAACGCCGTCTCTCGGCGACTAGCGGCGAACGCCCGGAGGTTTCAACTGCGGTCAGAAATGCATGGAGAACGTGAGAAAATCGTTGTTTCTTCAGTTTTGTGGGGATGTGCGGAATGGAAATCATTTTTGACATAATAATGAAACATTTTAGAATAATATGCGATAAGTTTTGTGCCATACAAGGACGTAACTTTTTTTTAAAAAAATTGCCTGAGCGGCATCATGCAGCAGACGACACGGCGACGTCACACCATTCACGTGACCCGCTCCGGCCAACCCGAAAACCCCATCTCCGCTGCGAGCAAAAATCGTCTGCTTCAAACGCCACTGCCTTGGAAATTGCCTTCCCAAAATTTGCACACGCATCCGATATTATTAAAACTTTGATAAAGTGTTTATTGCTTTACTAACTTCACGACAGACTAGTTTTGAAAAGTGTGAACTCGCCGTTCATTTTTTAATCAGCCGTGTTGTGTCGATCTCCATGTATTCTCCCGTAGGGCGGGCCGCCTCCTGGAACCCTGAGTACCACGTGACTCGCGCCGAGCCGCTCTGTCGGCCATGTTGTCGGCAAAACACGGGGTTCAAAGGATTGCGCTACTCTGCTCCGTAGGTGCTCAAGTACCACCCACACTCGACCTTGAAAATGCCGTAGTAGACAAAAGACCCTAAACACTATCGCATTGCATCTCTTTTGTCGGGACTCTGAGAGAATGCTTGTTATTTTAGGCGGCATATAAGTAACCACAATTCTAAATTGTTTATAAGACCTCATCCTTCTTTGATCCGTCTTGAAGGCTCAAATCTTTCCTTGACTCTCAGCCGAAGCACGGTCGCAGAGTTCCGTAAGCATTTCAAGTTGTATAAAAGCAGTACCAAACATTCCCTCAAGAACTGCTCAGTATGCGTTTTAAAGGAAGGAGTAAGTTTGGAGCGCCGAAACGTACTTTCGCATATTTCCTAAAGATACAGAAATACTGCTGTCTTTTGGCAAGAAGCAGTACACTAAAAGTGTATAGCTGGTGCGATTTTATGAAGAAAAACATACACGTTAAGTATATTTCGAGTTTACCAAAATACTATCATGTTAAATCTTTTTTTTTTTTTTTTTTTTTTTCAGATATTGTTAGCGCAGTCTTTTGTTTGGGTTGTGCGTTGGAGTGCCGATCGGCCGTAACGTCCACATATGAAGCGGAGCAGAACGGCGGCTCCGAAATTGATTAGTTTTCTGGGTATTGCCCAATACACGTGAGTTATGAGCACATCAAAGAAGAGAGATTTCGTGCATTGACAATTTTCCCAGAAACCTGCTAGGTTTTGCTGAACCTCCTTAGGCCGGTTCACCTTCGCGGGTCTGCCAAAATTCAAAATGATTGTATTTGAATAACGCTGTGAACGTATGTTTTTTTTTTTTTGTTTTTTTTTATTATTTCTAGCAGATAAACGATTTCTTTTTTTTTAATGTAGGGTAGTCGAATTAATTGGTTAACGTACCGATTATTTTATTAATGCGTTAATAGCGGACTAATTTCTTCACCTATTAATCGGCTAAAAAAGGATTAAAAGCGCAATGCTTTCTGACCTTGCACTAATAGCCAAGTGAGTCCTGTCTGCCCCAGTTGCTTCTGTGCAATTTGTTTAGGAGTTTAGCTCAGCAGGACGTTGTTAGCAAGCAAAGAAACTCGCTGCATCCGTCACAGATAAATGAATCTCTTCGGTGACATCAATCTTGTAGGCGTTACCAGAAAAAAAAAAAAAAACGGGGCAACGAAATACGCACTCGTTACATGCAAATAAAAACAACGAATTCCCGTTACAGAAAAAAAAAAAAAGTTAAAGCACGTTACCTTTGCATCACTTTTTCTATTTATGAATTCAAACATTTTCACTGTTTTGACGTTGTTGGTATGCTCAAGCTTTATATTTCAAGAAATATTGTGCCTAAGCAGAAACTTAGCATTATTACCTTATCTTTTCTACGGTTGCAGGTAAACACTAGCGAGAAAAACACGCGAAAACGCAGGACTTTATGACTCGATGCCTAGGAGCACGGAAGAAATTTAAAGGGGCTGCGCAACGATTTTAACTTTGAAAGAATTGGCATCATCCACTCGCGTGGATGTAGCCTCGGCCAATTATTTAAGCAAAGCACTGAAACTGTTGCATAGCTCCTTTAAGCATAATTTGTTCTTAAAGCTCTTGGGAAAAAGTGTTACGAGTAACGTAATTACGCTAATTGTTACTCAAGTACGCAAGTGAACTATATATCTTTTCTGTACTGCGCTCAGACTAATTAGCTAACTTTTAAATTATTCTTTAAAAGAAAAACCATATTTACTTTCGAAATTGACGATTATTTTTTTAGCTCACTTTATTATTTTTAGCCATTATTTTATGAGCAAAAAAATATCTCAACAATATTTGATCGAGAAGTTAGGAAACAACGTGTCTGACTGACTCGCAGCGGCTCGAAAAATCGCAAGGTTACGCGAGTATCGGCAATTTTCCAGAGTCTATCGCTCAAACCAGCCGCACTTCGTTTCTCCGATGCGATTCGTGATAGACAACAATCTTTTGCATTTGGAAACTGCAGAAACAAGCGCAAGTTAAAGAGCGCGGATGCAAGCGCAGACAACGTCAGCGGAGGAACGTTCAGCGCCGCCATCTATAAGCGGAGCGACTGTTTTCCGACCCTATCGATGCTCCGTTCACGTTTGTCAGCGCTACGGAAAAGAAGATCACATCCTTCGAAAGCAAACAGATTGCCACGAGTGCAGGTTCTCTACGTGTCCGGCTGGGAAGCGCGAGGTACTTTCAGCGTCCCTCAAACACACTGAGAAGAGCAAGTGCCCGGGACTTCGTTCCATTCAGAGCGCATCCGAGAGCGCTGCGAGAGCGTTGTCACGTGGTCTTTGTATTCTTTAAAAAATATATATATACGGGCCTTTTTGGGCTATATATATATATATATATATATATATATATATATATATATATATATATATATATATAAACGAACATATGCAGATGAATGAACCGTACGTAACCCAAAGAATCGTTTTACAAACCCGCCGAAAGCCAAAATGAACGGCGGAGCCAGGATTTTGGCTTTCGGCGGGTTCGTAAAACTTTGATTCATTGAATTAAGTACGGTTCATTCATCTCCATATGTTCGTTTATTTCCTCTTCGGAGACCACGTACGATGGTGGGAAGTGCCCATGATATATACAGGGTGTTTCACGAGAGGTAGACAAATTCGATATTGCGCAAACTACGCGTCGCAACAAACGAAAAAAAGGCTTGTGTCGTTTTGGTCCTGGGCCAGGGCCCTAATTAGAAAAATTATTAAAGTCCGGAATAATTAGATTGTTCACTACTTTTGCTTAATTAACTTTTTAATATTGGGTTTAAGGGCTGCTTTCAATCAGAAAATTGCTCAGCATCATCGAAAAACACTAGATCAATAAATTGCAGGACGATAGAAGGCAAGCGAGGCATTTTACGGCTGTCTCAAAAACCGCACAAATTCGACGGGTTTTTAAGTTTGGTTTGCAATCGGAGCGCGTCTCGGCCCCGACGGCAACGCGCCCCGTGGAGAGTTAGTGCAACCAGCCTCTGCTGCGGTGCGCGAGGGCAGCGCAGCAGAGGCTGGTTGCACTATTTCTCCACCGGGCGCGGTGCCGTCGGGGCTGAGATGTGCTCCGAGTGCAAACCGAAACTTAAAAACTCGTTGAATTTGTGCGAGAAAGCCGTAAAATGCTGCGCGTGCCTTCTATCGCTCTACAATTTGTTGGTTTAGTGTTTTTCGATGATGCTGAGCAATTTTCTAATTGAAACCATGCCCTTAAACACAATATTAATAAAGTTAATTACGCAAAAATAATAAACAACTTAATTATCCCAAACTTTAATAATTTTTCTAAATGGGCCCCTGGCACAGGACCAAAACGACACAAGCCTTTTTCTTTTTTTTTTTTATTACGGGCTGTTTTCTCGATGTCGAATTTGTCCACTTTTACTGCAAAAAAAGTACAGGTTTTTTTTATCGCAAAAATAAACTAATAATGATTTAATAATTTTCCTAAATGGGCCCCTGGCACAAAACCAAAACGACACAAGCCTTTTTTTTTTTACGCGTTGTTTTTGCGATATCGAATTTGTCCACTTTTAGTGCACGAAAAAATTCACAGTCTTTTTTTTATCGCAAAAATAAACTAGGCATTGACGAACGCTCACTCTCCGCCCAAAGGTATAGCGCTAGAGGCCACAACCAGATGCCAAAGTTTCAGCCCGATCCGATACCTCAATCAAAAGTTATAAGTGATATCTGAAAATTTCAATGGGAAAATAGCGGCCGACGGAGGTTTCGAACACATTCGGCTCTATGGCACCAGAAACCGAAAACGGGCAAAAATGGGCTCCATTTTCGCATTGAAATTTTCAGAAAATCACTTATAACTTTTGAACGAGGTATCGGATCGGGCTGAAACTTTGGCATCTGGTTGTGACCTCTAGCGCTAACTTTAAGCGGAGAATGAGCGTTCGGCAATACCTAGTTTATTTTTGCGGTGAAAAAAAGCCTGCAATTTTTTTTTTGTCACACCCTGTATATATATATATTGCGTGATTAGTTTCCTGCAGATCGGGCGAATAGCCAATCACTGCGAACAGTGGAACGCTTTGCAGGGAAACTAAACTGGTGTTTAGGTCCTGTGATGTCACTTTATGTCACGCGACATGACATCACGTGATTTATATACCTATACTGTTTCTCCGCTAAATTTAGCGGGAAAATTGACAGAAAGTGATCTGACATAGCGCGAAATACACACCAATTCACTTTCCCCGCTAAATTTAGCGGTAAAATTGATGTCACGTGACCAGACGTCACGTGACCACCAATTTACTTTCTCCGCTAAATTTAACGCGAAATTTGATGTCACGTAGCCTAACACCAATTTACTTTCCCCGTCAAATTTAGCGGAAAATTGATATCACGCGAACTATACACCACTTCAGTTTCCCCGCTAAAATTGGAGGGGTAATCGATGTTACGTCACGTATACACCGATTTCGTTTCCCCCCCTAAATTTAGCGTGTTAATTGACGTCACGTAACCTGACTACGCGTTACATTTACATCAATACAATTTCTCCACTAAATCTAGCGAAGAAAGTTGACGCCACATGATGCATACACACCAATTTAGTTTCCCCGCTAAATTTAGTAGAGAACTTTATAAAAAATATACGTTCTTCTTCACTTCCTGAAACGACGGTCTAATGGCTTATAAATTATTTTAAACAATCCCGCCTTAAATGGTACTGCATTTCATGCTTTAGAGGACTTTGGAGATAGGTCGCTGTTATATTTTTTCAATCGACTTTGATTAGTGCGTTTTCTGTTGAAAGTGATATAGGGCGCTAGGAATCATTACGAAAATATAGGAACACCAATTTCAGAGTTTGTGTTATCTCAGCGTCCGTGTCACGAGAAATTTCCCTCAAAACGTCTTTCCTTCGACATACACATTTTTCAAGTTTTCCTGAATGTGCGATTGGCTCAAACAATGGACTTTTTATTCGAATACATACAGGGTGTTTCACGAAACTCCGACAAATTCGATTTTGCACAAACTATACGCATCGCACAAAAGAAAAGAAAAGGTTGATTGATGCATCTCTTTGGCTTTTGCACGGGGTCCTATTTAGGACAAATAATATAGATCGAAATAACTATAAGTCATTCCTTATTTTCGCTCAATTATCGTATATTTAATGGCACGGTTTCAATTAGAGACTTGCTGGGAATCATCGAAAACTACTAAATCCACCCACATTCCAGTAATATACGACACGCGCGGCGCTTTACGGCATGGACGTGTTTCTAGGTTTCGGTTTCTCATCAGGGCGCATCTCTACGTGCGTGCGCCGCCACGCGTCGCACGTAGAAAAGATAAGAAAGCCTCCGGACAGCCACATGAGGTTTGCCTTTTTGACGTCGTTGCCTGTTTAAACACGAACCTCCTCAATACGTGCGTAGCGTGGTGCGTGGTGTCGCTCGCACGTTGCGTGCTTTGACCACGGGGAGCGGGACTGCTGGAGCGGAGATGCGCTCCGGTAAGAGACCGAAACTTAGAAACGCGTCCAGATTTAACATTCTTTTTCGGAACGCCACAAAATGCTGGGCTTGCCTCAGATCATTGTAAAGTGGAACGATGTAGTACTTTTCGGTGGTCCCCACAAGTTTTTAAATAAAACCACGACCTTTATAATTTAAATAAATGCAAAGGTGCAAGCGAGCTGGACAAGAATGTCCAACTCGCTTGCTCTTGTCCCTCTTGTTCCCCTTCTGCAGGGACTATTTTCGTCACGACCTTTCTTTTTCTGTGCGTGTGCGTGCGTGCGATGCGTAGTTTTTGCAAAATTGAGTTTGCCGGAGTTCCGTGTACAACCCCCCCCCCCCCCCCCCCCCCCCTCAAATACTCATGTAAGCAACGACATCAACAGAAGGTATATTTTTTCTTCGAATTTGCAGGCTAACTAGCATCTCGAGAAATTTCTCAAACTGGAAAACGCACCTTCCTAACTCCTATTCAGGATTGTGCAAGGTCTTCCACTAGACAAAAATCTTGCTTCAGGCGCGCACAATTTTAAGCCCGAAGACGACGACCTCGCACATATGAAGTCTAAATCAGACGTCAAACCGGCACACTCACGCTCTTGTTCTTGTTGTATTCGGTCAGGTTGTTGGCGTAGTCCCACTCTGCTCCGAACGACTTGAGGCACATGTCCGTGAGCAGGACGTCGGCGTCCTTGAGGTAGGCCTTGGCCCGTTCCTCGTCCTCCAGCGGCCCTTCGAGGGGCTTCTCCGGAGCGCCGTCGCCGACGACGGCGACCACGAGCCCCACAAGCAGCAAAAAACCGCAGGCGGTCCGGAACCACGACGTCGCCATGGAATCAGCGGCCGTCCTTCTTCAGAGGCCCTATCGGTCCTCTTCCTGTCGAGTGGCCAGGGTCACCATCGGGCGCCTTTTATAGACGGCGCGGCGCCTGCTCTTTAACCGGTTCGCCGGTTCATTCGCCCCGGGTTCACCCCCATGCGCTGGGAACCGGGCGACGTCGCACTGCGCGAGGGGCGAAGACTGGCAGATAGCGACCGGAAGCGCATGCTGCGGCTGGTTATACGACCGCGCGGAGAAACCGGACGAGTTGGAAGTGATAAAGTGTCCTCGCGCCGTCACGTGACCCTTTCGAACGCGATCGGTCGGGTCGATTTGGGGGGGAGAAAGTGAAAATGCGGGTTCCTCGGGACTGACTCGGAGGTGGCTCGCGCACTTTCTTCCACAAGTGCCATCTGCCTATGGCCCGTTTCAGGGAAGAGCGTGTGGTCGGGGGCAGTTTCAGCGTTCGTGCATGGACCTATCGCGACACAGTTAGGTATGCACCGTTCGAATATTTACAAAATAACAGCCCAGGGGTTCCAACCTAGGCACTCGGCAAGAAAGTCGGCGAGGGATTCGACCGCCGTGATACGCCGCCGCCAAGATAGAGCGCGGCGCCGGCCAATCACGGCCGCCAGATGAAAGCCTCAGAACGTGCAACGCGGAAAATAGCATCGGCCAGACGCCCTTTTTCTCGGCGTGAATGATCTGCGCTACGTTGTAGAGTCTATATAGCCTTGTTTCCGCAGCGCTGCAACGCAGTCATAGCCACGTGCAATAGTGCGTTCCACGACAGCGCGTGCGAATGAGATGCAAAGCGAAGCCAGGGCGGGGCTGCACCACTGCAGGGGAAGGTATAAGCAGAGCCGTATATGTAGAGAGTTTGGCCATTCGTTGGGAAGTATAGGAGACAAATGAAGCGGCGCCATTGGCTGAAAGCGGGCTGGGCGTGTTCCAGGGCGTCTTCAGAAATTCGAATGTGACCAACCAGAAGCCGGAAATAATATCCTGGCGGTGGTCGCGAGAAACAAACCTGATAACTGCATTGGAGTAACTCTTGATGGCTGAAAATATAATACACGTGATGTTTCAATCACACTCATCTAAAATGATGGTGGAAGAGTGCGACTAGCAGAAAGATCGACATAATCCTTACGCCAAACGCCGAGCGCCGGGAATCTGCCGTCAGAGCGGTCACACTCCGTCCGCGTAAAACAGAGTTGAGCGGCGCATTCGTTTCTTACATCTTTCTGCATGATCATGATGAAACAACACGTGAACCCTATTTTCAACCACAAAGAGTTACTACACTTCACTCTTACGCACTTATTAAAACCATATACGAACATAGACCTTCGATGATCGATCGGCTCAGAACTGTTTGCCGCTACCACCGCTAGGGGATTCTTTTCGGCTTCTGGTTGGTCAAGAGAGCATGCCAAGCGTTGGCCAAGCCCTCTTTCCGACTCTGCCGCACGCCCCGACTCTGCCCGCACCTCCCATTGACCAAACTCTCTCAATACACGGCTCTGGGTATAAGCTAGCCTCGACTACACCGTGACAATGTAACACAAAATAGTCAACACCGAGCGTAAATGCTTTTAAGCGGCCTTGCATGGGCGCCGCCAACACCGACCTTCAGTTTTACATCGCAGCTGTTTATGGCTAGGGTTCCGTGGACTTTTCGTGTGCGTGACCAAAAACTCTACACTCGCACCGCCGCACGTGCACGCCTTCCCCGTATAGAAGATTCGGAGTAATTATCACCAAAAATAAACTAGGCATTGCCGAACGCTCATTCTCCGCCCAAAGGTATAGCGCCAGAGGTCACAACCAGATGCCAAAGTTTCAGCCCGATCCGATAACTTAATCAAAAGTTATAAGTGATTTTCTGAAAATTTCAATGGGAAAATGGAGCCCATTTTTGCCCGTTTTCGGTTTCTGGTGCTAGAGCCCCATGTATTCGAAAACTCCGTTGGCCGCCATTTTCCTATTGAACTTTTTAGAAAATCCCTTAACTTTTGAGTAAGGTATCGGATCGGGCTGAAACGCTGGCATCTGGTTGTGACCTCTAACGCTACCTTTGGGCGGAGAATGAGCGTTCGGCAATGCCTAGTTTATTTTTGCGGTAAAAAAGACCGTGTAAATTTTCTTTTGTGACACCATGTAGACGCGACGCCACGAGACGTTGCCTACAGGCTCCCCAAAAAATGCTCTGTGCTACCAGACCCTCGCGCTCCAAATCTGCGACCGGGCACTCTATATGGCTCCGTCGTCAAACTGCTGGGCTATGGTCCTCCCCTCCAGTATTGGTCTTCGTGGAGGCCCGTCAACGCCGCTTTCAGAGACTCGGTATCTCCATAAGACAAGAGAAGGTCAACAATGGCTGTAATCTCGCGCGTGTTTAAAACGTCTTAAAGGGACACTGACAGGGTATTTATGCTCGCCGAGGTTTTTAGTTGTACGTGTCATATGAGAGCTCAACTACCCAGAACAGAATTTGCGGCTCGAAATTCGGTTTCTTTCCGCCCGAAAACCGCCGATCAAGAACTGGCCGGTTCGAGTCCCGCTCACTCTCTTTTTCGAGGTCACGGGCCGTTTTCTAAGGTATCGATGCGACCACCAAATTTAATCAAAGTCGTGGGTCACTGAAGGCACACACTCAATATTAAAAATAGAAAAAAATATGAAACCCATTTTTTGTGGCTTCTCAAAATCTGTAAATACGTTGATTGAAAAAAAAAGTTCCACAGACAACCGGAAGCATTCTGTGCGTTCGTCGTTTCGCGTATCGTGGGACTCGCGGGGACGGCGATGGCAGCGGACGACGGGCGTGGGGCCTCTATTTCAGAACTGTCGTTCGCGGTACCGGCGAATTCTGTCTACCTTTAAAAGAGAAATTTGGGACTGATCAAAAGAATTGGTGTTCATCCCGTACGACACGCCCGGCCACCAAGCCGATTTGCACGAAGACGTCGCCGAGCCGTCGCTCCCTTCTCGTGGCTGAAGACATCGCTCGCGCAAACGTCAAGCACGACGTGTCTACTTCGAGTTAAATATGCACGCGTACGATTTCTTTACTAGGTGCGAATGTCCCCAAAGCGTGGTGCTTCCCGACTTCGACTCGGGAGTGCTTTTGCTAGAGAAAAATCGACAGCAATTTTCCAACTTACAGTTTACCGGCTTAATTATTAAAAAGGAAGGAGATCCACCAGGAAAGAGATCCCCCAGTAGCGCAGTGGGAAAGACGTCCGGTTCACACGCGGTAAGACCGGGTTCGATCCCCCGTGAAACTTTTTTTTTTTTTTTTTTTTTTCAAACATTTCCCGATGGTTACATATCTTTTTTCTTTTTTTACAATCATCACTGAAGAAACAAACAAAAAATAACAAACAAATGTTGCGGACGATACTTTGCTGAATTAAATGGTGTGTGATTTCCTTTTTGACACCTGCGAACTCAATGTAATCACTTTCCACAAAATGCAAGGAGCATATAAATCAGGTAGCGTCCGCTTTCCGAGGTGCCCGTATATGTTCTACAGGAATTGCAGCCAGCCAATGGTCCCGATCCCGTTGATCTTTCGGAAACTCTGTCGCACAATGCCACTTTTTTTCGGACGCAGGACACGTGAGCCAGCTCTTCACGCAACATCTTGGGAGTATTCTTTTCGGAGCCGATCATGGAAATTCACCACGGGCACTCGCTACTCATCTCCGACTCCTCAATGTACAAAACAACTCATCTTGGAGTACAGAACAACGAGCGTAACAAACATAACTGCAAAAGAATCGCCCGGCGAGCAGTTCCCGCACGCCGCATGTCGTGTCGTCTGCTACGGAGAGGAGAAAAACAAACAAACAAAAAAAAAAAACGCACGGTCGGGTGTAGCCACGTGACTTCCGCCACTCACTCTCTTCTCTCCACTTCTCCGACCTCCGTCGGGTTTCGGTTTCGGTTTCGAGCAGTTGCGTCTTTTGGCTTTATTAAAAAAATACGCTACTCTGTTGCAAAATATTAATTGGGTAGTCCTCCGACACCATAATGAAGCCCCTGGCAAAAAATGAAAAACAAATTTTGGGGGGTGTCAGTGTCCCTTTAAGGGGTGTCCAAAGAGGACACTAAAAAAGGCACGACTCCGACAAATCGTGAAAATTGAAGCGGGCGCGTCCGCTTCCATTTTCACGATTTGTCGGAGTCGTGCCTTTTTTAGTGTCCTGTTTGGACACCCCTTTAGACCATCCCAGAAGGTTCTGGCCGGTGGCATCTTCAAAGTTCGTGCGCACGGCACGTGCTTTGCTCCTTTTTTGAGTCGGGGAACATGAGCGTGCTGGCGCTGAGGCGATCGCACGATGGGCTGTCGATTTCAAAACACTGGAATGGTGCATTCGCTAACATAACATTTGGTGCCCACCAATGCCTTTTCGAAAGATGAAAATAAAAAGGGCCCATGTTGTGTTCCGGCGAAATACAATGCTGTCAATCGGTGGTCGAGTGGTCTACACACACCAGCTTGAAGCACGTGGAGCGAGAGCTCGCGCTGCAGAACCCAGGGATCCTAGGTTCAATCGCCACCCCTGCCTAGGGTGCCTTCATGTGCGCTTTGCTTGGGGTGATCACATCTAGCCATTTTGTTTCGAACGCTTATTTTTATTTTTTGTTCTCAAGCGCGTGAAAGAGCGTGTCCCCGCACGCGCTCGTGGCGCTGACTGTGCTACGGCGACATTTTGTTTCCTGCGATTTCTTTGTATTTTACCCGTGAGCGCGTGCTGTCGGCATCGGGTACTACAAACGATGGCATCACCCTAAACAGAAGGACATTGAGGCACTCTACCCCTGCCCGTTTCGATCTGGATGAGCATCGTACCGGCGTGCGGTCGTGTATCACTACTGCGTGATGCACGTTAAGGACCCTAGGCTAGCGGTTGCAGTGGCTAAATTGCTCATGCACAGCTGAGACACCAGACACCCACTGAGGCAGACTAACTTCCGGTTGTATAAACATACACATAACAACAATTAGCAATTATGTGTTCCACGCGCCTCAGCAGTAGTAACTTTTCTAAATCAAAAGCCTAAAACAAGTTGTATCTTGCATCTTTTCGTCAACGCTTTATTTTGGTTATTTACTTCGGCTACTCTGTTTGAAATTAAGCAGATTAAATATTGACCCTAACATTCTC